CGTTTTTGCATATATGCAAATGCGAAAACGCATATTGCGACGACCCCGGTGTGTGTGTATGTGTGTTTGTGTGTGTGTGTGTGCGTGTGTGTGTATGTGTGTGTGTGTGTGTGTGTGCGCACGCGCGTCTGTCCGGGTATTTCAACTCGGCACCCAAGCAAGCTCCGGCGCCAAAATTTCGCGAGTGAGTTCCCGGCCAAGTGCCACACCAGGACCACTGTACCAATCTTCAAGCACGTCTAGGCCCCGCGTACGAGCGTCTCAAAGTTTTGGCGGAAAAATCGCTAACTTGGGAACCAGAAAAGCCAGAAAGCTGAAATTTTGGAATTATGTTCCCCGTCCATATAGAACTCAAAGATTTTAAATTCAGCCCCCTGGTATGCGCGTTTCCCACGTACGGCCCCGTGAGGGTTCCTGGCGCGAAAATCGCTAGCTTGGGAACCAAGAAAGCTGGGAGGCTGAAACATTCAGGAAATGTTCCCAATTCATCTACAACTTAAATTTATCAAATTCAACCCCCCTATATTATGCGTTTTCGCCACGTGAAAGTTTTTGGCGCGAAAATGGATAACTCCGGAACCAGGAAAGCTGGGAGGCTGAAACTTTTAGGAAATGTTCCCAACTCATCTTCAACTTAAATTTATCAAATTCAGGCTCCAGTCATGCGTGGTGGTTGCCATGTACGGCCCCGTGAAATTTTCTGGCTGGAATTTGGGAACTCAGAAACTGGGAAAGCTGGGAACCTGGGATTTTAAGGGAATATTCCCTGTCCAAGTATAGCATGGACAAGTAACTTCACGAAATTCGAGAATCAGTATGTCAGAGGTTTCTAGCTACTGAAATTTCGAGTGATCTTATTGCAGCACGAAATGCTGCAAAAACGCATGATCGCACGGGCCCGCCCAGTGCGCGTCGCCAGTGATTCTGAGGATGTTTGCTATTCATATGCGGGCTAACAAGCATAAGATGAGCTTTTTCTAGGCATGAGTCCCGGGCGCATCGAATGTTCAGACTGCAACATCACAGCCACACTCAGTAGTACAGAATGATCTCTCTACAAGATAGAATTATGCAGCCCAAGCCGGAACGCACCAGGCTCTCCGGTGCGATCATGCGTTTTTGCACTAAACTCGCAGATCGCTATTAGCAGGAATGATCCCTTCGCTGTAGCTTAACACTTGGGCTAATATTGGCCGTGCTTTAATCCTTATCGGCATGCAGGAGGAAGGGCATCAGTTGGGATGAAGGTGGTGCATTATAGATCCGCACAGACATCCAGGTGCATGATTACCGGTTTTTTGTATGAAGTCTGGTCGTTTTTTCGGTAGTGCTTGCTTCGTTAAAAAGTGACAAATGCAAATTTTTTGAAAAAATGCAAATTTCCAGTTCACTAAAAAGTGGAAGTATTGCTCGAGCGGTCGTTTGTCAAAAAATGCGCGTTCATTTACATATACGATTGCGGTTAAGGTCCGAGCTGCGAATGAATTTTTTGAAAATATGCAAATTTTCAGTTCATTGAAAAACTGAAAGTATTGCTCGAACGGTCGTTTTTCAAAAAATCCATGCTCATTC